CCCACCGCCGTGATCACGCCCTCTGTGGCGGGGCGGTCCCACGCCACCATGCAGAGCTGCATTTGGAACAGGCGCACAACCAGCTGCAAGAGATGGCACGCGGTGGCGGTTTGTAGCGCGGCCGCAGCTGCTGCACCTGGCCTGACGCAGAGCGCTCAGCCCCTTGCTGCCGTTGCTCGCGTTCACAGCAGGCCGAGCGCCGGCTGCATGAGCGGTCACGATGGCCCCGGCCTCACCTCCTCGACGGCCAGCCCCGCGCTCCGGGCGACACCCAGGCCCCTCTCTGCGGCGGCCGCCGCGCCCTGCGAGTCCGCCTGGGACGCCAGCGCGTCCGCAATGCGCAGGTGGAAGTAGCAGGCCCAGCGTTGCAGCTGGGCTCGGGAAGCGCTGCAGGTTGGGGCGGCGGGAGTCGGAGGGGCGCGTGCATATGGGAGGGCGGCGAGGCTGAGCGTAGGCATCGTTTGGGGGGCGGCTTGAGAACTAGACTCTTTGCAAGCAACACTTACTGGCTCCCGCAGTGTGTTCAGGGGTCAAGGTCAACAGCGGTCATGCGCAGAGAGAGCGGCCACCTGCCGTTGTGGGGCCCACCTGTCCCCAGCGCCGGCACCAGAGAGCGCCTGACTGCAGACGTCCAGGCCTTTGGCATAGGCCCCCTTTTGGAAGTCAACTTCTCCGCAATACTAAGTACGTGCAGAGTTGAAGGCGCGAGCGACTGTAAAAGAATTGGGCCACATGGGGCACACAGCACGTGCGAATGCCCGTCACAGGTCACGCACATGCGCTGGCTGGGTTCCATGGCTCCAGGAAGCCCCATGCACTGTGGGCCATTGACCCACTGCGAGCTCATCCATCGCCGCTTGCCATGTGCATACCAGACAACAACACCGGCTCCGCCCCACCGCACTTTGTGCGCTTTGCCCAGGAGTGCGGCAACCTCGCACTTCAGAATATGGTGGGACGGCAGCTTCTGCACTAGCAGTTGCTGCGCAGCACGCAGCAAATCGGTGCAGCAAATCGCGGACGAGGCCCGGCGTCAGTGGTCGATTTCATGCCGTCCTGTTGAGGAGCGACGTCACCCAGGAAGCGGGCGGCTGTGGCTGCGGGGCGACTTCACCCGGCTGGTGGCAATCACAAACGGCACTCACGGCCTTTTGAAGGTGTTGCTTAACCTCCGCAAGGTTGGTGGTGTGCTGCAGCAGCAGGCGCGCCGCGCGCAGGCGGACCTGCGCCGCATCAGCAGGCATCGGCGACAGGCTCAGGCTCGCCTCCAGGCACTTCATGGCCTGCAGAGGGTGCCCGTCTAAGCTGAACTTTGCAGCTAATAGCTGCAGAGTGTCGAAAGCCATGCCGGGCGATCCCTCGTGAAAATCACGCGATGCAGAATCACTGAACGATGTGTACGAGTGTTCACAGTAATCAGTATTCAGAGAAAAGCTCAGTATTTGCTTAGTGATCTCCGCGGTAGATCTGGCGCCATCATTTCCGAACGGCCTGAATCTAAATATTGTACCAGCACATGTTTTATCTTTTGAATCCTTGATTCGAAGCAGCTGGCGGGTGGCAAGCTGTACTATGATGATGAGTGTCGAGCGCTAGTCATGGCTGCGGTCAAAATGGCACTCGTGTCTGCAACGGCCTGTTCTCCGCACGTCCGTTGGAGGCCTGCTGGTGCCATGCCCACTTTGATCAGAATGGCTGCTGAGTTGTCTGTATGTGTGTACGAGGTGCAGGAATTGGTTTGTTTCTGGTAGTTGTTTTTGCATATGGTAGCAAATGCTCGAATGCAGAGTTGCAATGTTTGTGACTACCGTGCACCCGCTCGCCCGCCCGCCCCACCTTATAAAACGGCAATTGCCTCCGGATCTGTGCAACAGCGGCCGGTCCATCAAGTAAGGCCATGATCCATGCCAATGTGTCATGTAAGTGGCTGATGCAATTTGCCCTTGCGTGAGTCACACCAGGGTGCACCGCCGGCGGATTGCTTGAAACGCCTGTACACATTGCTCAACAGAGTTGGACATACTCTTGGCCTTTCAAGCAAAATTTCACCGGAACAGTGTAGCCATGTTACACTGGCAGCCTCCGTGTGATCACAGCCACGATCTCAGCACACGTGTCAGAAGTGGGGGTGGTGCATAACAAGGGCGAAGTTGGCTTTGCTGGGATTTGCGTGCTTGTTGAATTAAAATATAGGGGCGGGCTAATAACATGGCAGTTGGGGACAGCCAAAGCGACGTCAGCAACGGTTCTCTGCCAAAGGTCGCCACAGCAGAGTGCGTGATGGATCCCAAATACCCAGGGGTAACAAAGTCCTCCACAACCAGTGTGAGTGGGCTGCGTTTCATCGAAGCGTGTGGGTGCGTGGCGGCGCCGCTCGACCTATAATGCAAGCCAGAAGCTGTGCTCGAGACAGGGCACCTCGCTGAGTCATGCGCGAGCAGACGAGTGCCACATGCAGGCGATCTGAGCGGCTCGTTGCATTGACTGTGGTCGTAAGTCCGGGACAAAAACGTGAGAAGCGATGCAGGCGCCCAGCACAGAAGTGTGGCATGAAGCGCTGCATTAGAAGCGTCGTGTCAGGTCGGCCCGTAGCTGTGTTCCCCACCATGCAAGTGCGTTGTGTGGGTGTGCCCTCAAGACCCAAAGTACGCAAGAGCTGCACCAAATCGAAATGCGCTTTTGAGAACGCGCGTGAGTCGTGCCCCTAGGCCTGATGTCAGACACCCAATGGAAGTTCCCACAACGTTTGCAAGGTGTGACCCTGCAGCCACAACCGATCAGTTGTGTGGTGTGCACAGGCCTTGAAAACAAAAAAAGATTTGTGTGAATTAAGTAGGGATAAATTAAGTAGGGATCAATGCACACGCAGGCTGCTCGCACCGTGATGAGTAGATCAGAATGCAGCGGACAGGGCAGCACCAGAGGCCACCAGCCCACGGTGATAGCAGCACAGCACGAGTGGCAGCTTTGCTTCATCATTTTACACCCCACTTCAAGTGCAGCTGTGCTGTGCAGGTGCCGATGGGGAACAGGAGGCCAAGGAGGGGTTGGTCAGGAAGGTCGTATGCAGCAACGCAGGGGCGGACGCTTGCAGAGATGGGGTTGGTCACCCCAAGGGCCGCCAATGGCGGCCGCATACTGGTAGGACTGGTGTGTTGTGCCCCACACCAGTCCAACCCTGCAGCAACTGAGCGCGTGGCAGCACGAGCACCGAATGTGCTACTGCAAGCAGCCCAGGTGGGTGCCAGAGTGCAGATGGCCCGCCATGACTGAATATCCCGGTAAGCAAAAAGTGTGTTTGAAGGAGTGATTGGCGTAATATCAGATAAGCCCTCAAAGTGCTTGCAACTCCGCCTTTCGGGCGTCAAGCTAGCTGATTGTCCAATGAATCAAAGGTCAGGGGACCTTGTGGCATGACGGGCGCCTCGCGCATTGACGGGCACCTCCTCCTGAGATGGAGGGCCTAAGCAGCAGCTGGATCCACTCTATCTAGGGGCGCGACCTGCGGCCGCGACCGACGCCGCGGCCCTTGGTCCCCAGCGGCTTGCCATTAACCGTGAGCTGGCGCTCGCAGAGGCTCTGCGACGGATACCAGGGGTTGATACAGACGAACAGCGGTTATCATTCGTGCTGCTGACTCGAAATAGCAGCTGGGCGCCCCAAGGCGGGATTTCTGAGCTCCCTGGACGTCAAATCAAACAGATACATGCACAGCAGTCCATGTGTGCACGGATGTGCATGTTCGCTTTCTTCCCTCACAGACACACAGGCTCTCATTGCAGGGCACGGATGCGGCGCCGCCCGCCCACCTGATCAGGGTCGCCAAAGCCAAACCTGCCCATGGCCAGCAGGACCTGCTTGGCGCTCCTCTCCCCGGCGGCGTAGCCACCTGGGAGCACCAGCACCAACAGGCAGCGCAGGCGCATAAACTTGGCAACCAGTAGCCGTGCTCTCATCGCACGAATGCATACATGCATGTTGCCGTCACTCTGTCGCAACAAAACATCGCAAGCGCCACTGCGGACTGCCAGGGCACCAGCGTAGTGAATGGTGGGAGGCCAGGTAGGGCCCGGGCGCTCACTCGGCATGTAGCCGTTGATGCGCCTGCAGGCCGCCTCGCCAGAAAACAGGATCTTGCCCGGGATCAGCAGGGGCCCAAAGCTGCCCACAGGGGCGCGCCACAGCTCGTATTCCTCCCGCGACATGCCGGCCTGCATGATCGAATAAGGTGGGGCCGGACCCATTGGCAAGGTTGATGGCGCGCTTGGTTTTCTGATATGAACTTTGCACATCCTCAATCCGCTCTGAGTCGGTCGCTTGGCTGCGTGAGCGCACCAGGCTGTCTCATTGGATTTTTTGGACCATCAACTGTCAAGAGTCAGCTTGGTGAATGGCAGCTAGAGAGCTTAGCTTCCCCCAACTGCTTTCAGGCACTAGCTGAACAGTCTCCTCACAAACAGCCGGTAGGCCCCTAGGCGAGCAGTGGGCGCACCGGCCAGTTGGTGTAGCTGCCGCCAAACAGCTCGTTGGTGTACCAGCGGGGGATGACGTAGCCGATGAGCCTGTAGGGCGACGTGGTGTTGGCCTGGGGGTAGATCTGCTGCAGGCGCTGGACCAGGGTCCTCAGGATGACCTCGTCAGGCAGGGACTCCATGGAGGCCGACATCACGTCCGTGAGCTGCGCGCGAGTCGTGCAGGGACCGCAGCTTAAACGAGCGTGCAGGTTTGCTGCACACAGACATTCTTGCAGGATATTACGGGCATCCTCACCCTCTTGCTTGCTGCCTTGCAACTGTCAACACGCGCACAACAAGGAGCTCGTCATAATGGTATGCTTGTATGCTCGCAGTCCGTCACGCCATCCGCACGCAGCCCGACATCCAGTCAAAGCACCAGGCTTCTACAAATGCACGGCGCATGACACAAGCCAGCAGGGCGTGCCCACCGTCATCATAAGGATGTTTGAGCCCGGCAAGAAGCCTCCAGTGTTGGGCGACAGGCTCTGCCAGAGGACCATGTTGGTGGCACCTGAAGGCATATGCAGAACAGACCAGTTTGACGGCAACCTGAAATCCGGACGCCATTGGCTGAGATGTGAAGCATGCAGCAATGTGATCAGGAAGCAGGTTTAAAAAGAAGGTTCAGGCACTCACGAACCTCAAACCCCATCCCGAGCAGCCAACATTATTGCATGCTTATGCAGGCTGTGACGCCCCACCATTGTTGGGTGCCTGAAGGATGAACTGGACAGTGGGGTCCCAGAAGGTACTCTCGAACTTGAGGAAGATCTGGAATCCAGCGGGATGCAAGAGTAGCATGGTCAGGGATGCCGCTCTAGTTGAAAAGACAGCGTACGGCATGCGAGCCTCCTGCAATCACTGGCTTGAGACGGCAGTGCTGGGCCACCTGGTGCGCCACATTGACTCTATTGCATGGATTATTGCCCTGCTATCAACAGGGTGCCTGCCTTGGTGTATGTGGCCATGCGGAACTGCATCAGGGCGGCGCGCTTGGCCGGCGGCCAGTACGAGGCTGGGAACAGCGTGTCGAGGTTGCGCTGAAGGTTGGCGATGGGCAGCGTGCTGATGACGTAATCGAATTTGAAGTCGAATTTTGTGTCGGTCTTCACAACTACCTGGTTTCTGTTATTGACTTTGAAGGATTGCACCTTGGCAGCCGCAACAGACAAGAGATGAGCGGAGCACACAAGATTTTAGTGGATTTTGCAGCATACATTTGTGGCAGTTGATTAGTGGCCTCTCAGCGAATGCAGGCACCTGCGTGGCTGCTTGGGCCATTTGATGGCACGTAATTTTGCACGAGCCGCACCTTGGTGTTGAGCTTGACACGCCTGTTGAGGTCGATTTTTGACTTGGCAGCCAGGCAGGTGACAAGCTTGGCAAGGCCGCCCTCGGTCTGCTGATGGGCGAAGAGGTCAGCGTCCTCAAAATCCGTGTATGCGAGAGCGGGCTGGGTGTAGCGGGATGAGACCATCTCAGCTGTCTCGGCCCACTCAAAGTTGACAGACCACCACTCAACAGCATAATCAATGGGCTTGACGGGGTTCCAGCCGCTGAAAGATCGGGCAGGGAGGGCGATAGTAGCGTGCGTGGAAATATACTTGAGTGACAGCAATGCGGGAAGAGAGGGCTTGTTGTAGTGTTGCTGTGATGCAGGGTCGCACACGCACAGGCTGTGGCCCAGGCATAGCATGCAAATGCGCAAACGCTACAAGAGCAGCTAATAATTGATTGTACACTTATGCCGCGGAATGGCGTAGGCTATCTGATGGGCTCGCTTAGGCTGTGAAACAGTGGACTGACACGCGCCATCGGGCTCACCAGAGTCGGTAGGCCGCGCGCACGTCAATATCGCCATAAGCGTTGCTATCCAGCTGCTGTTTGACTGTTGACGCTGCACACTGCACAGCGGCGTCAAACTCGTCCCAGGGGATCTGGTTGTCCGGCAGGGGCTGCCCCAGCTCATCGAAGGTTGTAACCGAGTCCCAGTTCTGGGCGGTGCTGTTGAGGCCACAGGAGATAGCCAAATCGTACACTGGGTTGCCCTTCAGGCCCTGGATCCAGTTGGCACCCAGCTCTACAAACTGAAGGAGGTTGTGGGGTATCAGGGGCACAGTGCAGCTAGCGCGAATGAGCAAAGAGACAGGACAAGGACAATGTGTGTGTGGGTATGTGCGCGTGGGTGTTTATGTGTGTGATTGCAGGTGCTTGTGTGTGTGCTCGTGTGTGTGTGTGTGTGCGTGTGTGTGTGTGTGTGTGTGCATGCACATGTGCACACGTGCTCGCAGGCATGCTGCAAGAACGAGCCGTAGGTTTACTGGCTTGCTCAACCGTGACCGCAACTGCTGCAGCAACTCAAGGGGCAGCACGGCCCTTACCTCCTTGGTGGGTCCCAGGTTGGCGCCGCCATACGGCTGGATCGCCGCTTGGCGCATGCGGCCGCCCACCCTGTCGCTGGCCTCCAGCACAACATAGTCAACACCCGCCGCCTCCAGGATGCTGGCGGCGCGGATGCCAGCAATGCCCGCGCCCACGATGCCGACCTTGGCCGAGACGGTGACGGCGCTCGCCAGCAGCGGCAGGCCCAGCAGGGCCAACGCGCTCAAGGCGGCAGCCGCAGCGGACCGAGAGCGCCGGGGTAGCACCGTCATGCTGTCAGCAGGCGATAGCGTGCGACCGCGTGAAGACGCAGTTGGTGTAACAGCGACGCTTCGCTTGCGCCCTAACAGAAATGAAATGGTGCTTATGATGGTGGTTGTGGGCGCAACGAGCGAAAGAGGCTGCCGCCTGGACGTGTGTTTTGCTTGGGTCACCCGGCGGACTACGGGTGAATTTGAACCACGTAGGTACAGTTGCGGTGGTCGCAAACTTTTTAGATTTATTTTCCCGAAATTATGTTGTGAGTAGCAGAGGTGCTGCGTTTGAAACCGTGCCAGCAACAATGGTGGGCTGTTGCTTCTGACGAGCTTCATGACAGAGCACTCACTTGACATCCCTGAATCCCAGCTCCACCGTCACCCCTGCACACTGCAGTTCTGATGGCAACTTGCAACACCACTATTGCTATCTGATTCAGGCACTGGGTGAAAGCGTACTCAGTGGTATTATTATACACGTCACCGCTCGACTCATCAACAACATACTGCTGCGCCCTAAACGCTGGGGCGCAGTGGAAGTGCGGTGTGAACGAGATGCACCAAGGTGCCCCGTGTCAAAGCTACTCAACTGGCGGGGATTCTGATCACTGATTGTGCTGTGATGCCTGGCAAGAGCGGGTCAGACCACGTCTCTGATCCTGCACACTCCCGGTTGCCACTTCACACCAGAACATGAGAACAGCTCCCAAGTCTGGACTCTCTCTCGCAGTGCTGCCGCGAAACCGGCAGCGCCTCTAATGCTATGCGTTCGGCCCCATGTGACACATGAAGGGCCCTGATCGGCATGCGCCTATCGCGTTGGCTTTGCTTCGTAGCAGGCGCATAGCGCTGCAGGCGCCGCACACACACGAGCCGTCAGGCTACCTGTAGCTCTGCTTTCTGTGGCCTACTTATAATTTCTGAGACAGAGGACTCCAACATCATAAGAATATGAGATTCTGATGGGGCTCTGCAGCGACGGCGCATTTGACAGTCAGGACAGAGGCACGCATCATGCCAACAGCGTGCCTGGCCTGCCCGCTGATGGAGGATTACAACAGGATGCGCACAGTGGGTCAAAGGAGTGCGTGCTCATGGGGCGCCTGGGCGAGGGCATGCAAAGCTCCAGTCTAAATGACTTGTCCACAGAGGTGCTCAAGCAACAGTGTACGATTGAGATAGTTGTCACCGTGCGACGCCCCGCCACAGCGAGCGGGGAAGGCGCGTGTGTGCTCTCTGCAAGCAAGGGTTTTGATGGGCAAGCGCGCTTGGGAACGCGCCACTGCAAGCAGCTAGAGGCGAAAAGTGGCACAGGTGGGCAGATTTGCAGGTGACAAGTTGCACGATCCAGAAGAGGCTTGACCGGGCCCACCCGCGTGTTGCGGTGTGTTTCGTCCCCTGGCCACGTTGAATGTGCGTCTAAAATCCACAGGCAACACATAGGGACGGATCAGCAAGAGGGTGGTCCAGGCAGGTGAGCGCACTTGCACATTTCTGTTGCAAGTGTGGTGAGGTGCAAGGGTGTCCAGGCTGCCCAGTCAGTATATGTGCGCAGGCTTTGCAAGTGAGCAAGGCGGCACAGCAACCGTGACGCAGGATCGGTCTCGACAATGCACCTGTTCGTGTGTGACCCCCTTTAAGTGCATCCACTGCCCCCAGACCACAAAAAGCAAAATAATGCGCAAGCGCCAGGGGCACAGGTTTGGCAAAGCGCGGCTGAGAACGTGTGTGTCCAATGATCCAAGGCTTGCTCAGATACTTGAAGGCAGCGGCGGGGCCGCGTAGAGAGCGTGTTGAGGATGCAGGCACATGGCCTTTGAGACACCGTGCGGTTCTGCCGCGTGTTTTAGAGAGATCAGTGCAACGCGCCAGCATCACTGCCTCAAAAATGAGCCGCGGTCGTTGCTCCGGACTCAGCTGCCCAGTTGAACTGGGCAGCCGGGCAGCACGCGTGGCGCAGTATCGCATCGATGAGCCCCCCAGTTTGGTGATGTTATGCTGGGCTAGTGCTGCGGCAGGTTCAAAGGCACCTGTGCCCCTGCCACCTTCGCAGAGACTGACGGCAGGGTTTGTGCACAGGTCAGCGCATCCAGAAACCTAATGGACAGATCGAACAGCCCAAGGAGGCACAGGGCTGCCCAAAAGCCACGCGCACAGTGTGTGCTGCCGCACAGTTGTGAGCAGTGTGTTGAGAGCTGTCAAAGTGCTGCCGAATTGGAAATCGTAAGTGCGGCGTGATGTTGTTTGTGGGAGATCAGCTGAAATCGTTTGTCTGTTGACAGCACAGCGTCTGAGGGATCCGCGGACGGCTGGAGGGGTATAGCAACCCCTGAAAACCCTCCCATGCGATGTAAGTAGGGCCACCCAGAGCCTCGCAGCCTTAAGGGCGGCGCCTGCGGCCACGACCGCAGCCACGGCCCCGGGTGCCCGTTGGCTTTCCGTTGAGGGTGAGTTGGCGCTCGCAGATGTTCTGGGGGGAGCCGTGAGGAATGGGTGGACAGGGAGAGGCGAGATTGGTGTCTGAATTGTACATGGCAGCCTGCGTCAAGATTGTGCACAGTCTGGAACTAGCATAATGTACGCATGTTGAAGTGCAGGCTCTCTGTCCCACACACGCGCGTACACATGCACTACAACAACAACATGCACTCACACACATCCACGCACGCGCACGCAGCTCCATGCCCGCCCTTGCAAAAGAGTATTGCACAGGCAGCGCGTGTGCAAGTAGGATTTTGCTGTATCGCCAGCTGCCAAGTACTCCTTTACAGCACGGCCCACCCACCTGGTCGGGGTCGCCAAAGCCGGACTTGCCAATAGCCTGCAGCACCTGCTTGGCGCTCCTCTCGCCGGCAGCGTAACCACCTGAAAGCAGCAGCATCAACAGGCCGAGCAGGGGCAGACATTCAGCACCCAGCAGTTGCACAAATGCGGCCGCCACTCTTCGCAAACAAACACCAGAAGCGCCGAAATTGCCTGCCAGGGCACCAGCCGTCTGGCTGGAGAGCGGTCATCAGCACCCAGGCACTCACTGGGCATGTAGCCGTTGATGCGCCTGCAGGCCGCTTCGCCAGAAAACAGGATCTTTCCGGGCTTGGAAAGGTTGCCGTCACTGCCCACCGGGGCACGCCACAGCTCGTATTCCTCCCGCGACATGCCGGCCTGCGCGGAGCAGCAGATATTGCTGGGATCTCAGGGGTGCGACTCAAAGTGCTTATCGCCGCTTGCACCCCACTCTTTCTTCATAGGTCTCATACACAAGTCAGGTAACAAGACAATGGCCACAAATGCAACCCGGGCTTGCCTGCGAAAAAAACCAGATTCATCAACGTGCGCCTCATAATTCTCAACATGCACTGTCCAAGCTCAACCTTAGCGGTTTACGAAGCAGGCAGGCCCCTACGCGAGGCGTGCGCGCACCGGCCAGTTGGTGTAGCTGCCGCCAAACAGCTCGTTGGTGTACCAGCGGGGGATGACGTAGCCGATGAGCCTGTAGGGCGACGTGGTGTTGGCCTGGGGGTAGATCTGCTGCAGGCGCTGGACCAGGGTCCTCAGGATGACCTCGTCAGGCAGCGACTCCATGGAGGCCGACATCACGTCGGTGAGCTGTATGAGGTGGACGTGGCGTGCGGTTGTGTGTGTGAAGCGCGAGTGCGAGGATGTGTGCCCGGGTCCATGCATACAAACACACACGTGTGTGTGTGTGTGTGTGTGTGTGTGTGTGCGCGCGCGCGCGTCTAGGTGTGAAATCAAGTGCAAGCGGTAGATCACGCCTCTGCCGCTCGCACGTTGGCCACACGTGCGGCTTGCATGCTGCACGCAGCCCTGCGCACCGTCATCATCAAAATGTTGGAGCCTGGGATGAACCCGCCAGTGTTGGGGGACAGGCTCTGCCAGAGGACCATGTTGCTGGCACCTGGGTTGATAGTTAAGGTATAGCATTGTGATGAGGGATGCTAAGGAGGCATCACAGAGCCGCCTTAAGCAGAGAGAGACACGTCAGCGCGCGCACGCTTGTGCTGGAGACGGTCTTCTCAAGACAGCAAGCACGACCCCAAGCAAGTGACGTCAGCGGATGTGAGAGGCGGAGTTGCAGCTGGCAAGCGCCAAGGCGCAGCTGACCGTTGTTGGGTGCCTGCAAGATGAATTGGACGGCCGGGTCCCAGAAGGTGCTCTCAAATTTGAGGAAAATCTGGGGGCGGCAGGGATGGCAGGCAAGGGTTGCATCAGCGAGTTTGATTGATCAGGGCAGCAGGATGCGTTTCAGCGTTGACGGTACACATGGCGGCGTGTTACGTTGTGGGCGGCGGCGTGTGCAAGCGCCGGTCCTTCACGGCGCTTACCTTGGTGTATGTGGCCATGCGGAACTGCATGAGCGCGGCGCGCTTGGCCGGCGGCCAGTACGAGGCCGGGAACAGCGTGTCGAGGTTGCGCTGCAGGTGGCCGATGGGCAGCGTGCTGATGACGTAGTCGAATTTGTAGTCGGTGCTCGTGTTGGTCTTTACCACGACCTTGTCTTTGTTGTTAACGTTGAAGGAAAGCACCTGTGCAGCAGAGAGGAGGAAAAGCCGTGATGCATGCTTGTCAGGGCATATCAAGACTGCACGGTGGGGCCCCATGCATGTGTAGCAGCTGCTCAGACAATCCCATGCTCTGCCCGGGCCCAAGCAAGCCGAACCTTGGTGTTGAATTTGATGCGCCTGTTGGTGTTGATGTTTGACCTGTTCGCCAGGCAGGTGACAAGCTTGGCGATGCCGCCCTCTGTCTGCTGATGGGCGAAGAGGTCAGCGTCCTCAAAATCCGTGTAGGCATTGGCGGGCTGGGTGTAGCGCGATGATACCATCTCGGCGGTCTCGGCCCACTCAAAGTTGACAGACCACCACTCAACAGCATAATCAATGGGCTTGACGGGATTCCAGCCGCTGGAAGAGGGCGGGGACAGGAAATAGGCAGGTGGCAGCGTGAATAGGAAATTGCTCACAGGGTGCCAAGGGCAGAACGCATGCCACAGGGCTAACCAGCAGGCGATGAATGCGCACGGCACGACTCAGGCGGCGTGGGACACCGAGCAGGGGCTCTCCATCGTCTCTTGTCACGTCACAAAAGAAGTGGTTTGATGAAGGGGGGCGCGCCGCCCGCCTCACCAGACGCGGTAGGCCGCGCGCACGTCGATGTCGCCATAAGCATTGCTATCCAGCTGCTGCTTGATTGTGGACGCCGCGCACTCCACGGCGGTGTCGAACTGGTCCCAGGGGATCTGGTCGTCAGGCAGGGGCTGCCCCAACTCATTGAAGGTTGTGACCGAGTCCCAGTTCTGGGCGGTGCTGTTGAGGCCGCAGGTGACGGCCAGCTCGAAGACAGGGTTTCCCCTCAGGCCCTGGATCCAGTTGGCTCCCAGCTCGATAAACTGCAGCGGAGGGGGGGTGGGGGTGAGAAAGGGCACGTGTCGCGGACAGATGAGGAGCAGAAAGCAAGCAAAAGGACAGGGCAAAGAAACAGCTGGAGTGGTCAGAAGGCTGAGGAGAGAGGTATGGGGAGAAGGGGGCAGTCCAAGTCAAATGCAACAGTTGTGGCATGCGTGTGGCTGGCTAGTGCGCGAGAGTCCGTTGCGCTTGCATGGCTGCACATCCCGACTGGGAACTGCCAGTGCGACATCAACATCGTGTCCATCGCACAGCGCAGCGGCTGCCACACCCACCTCCTTGTTAGATCCCAGGTTGGCGCCCCCATACGGCTGGATCTCCGCCTGGCGCATGCGGCCGCCCACCCTGTCGCTGGCCTCCAGCACAACGTAATCAACACCCGCCGCCTCCAGGATGCTGGCGGCGCGAATGCCAGCAATGCCCGCGCCCACGATGCCGACCTTGGCTGAGACGGTGACGGCATTCGCCAGCAGCGGCAGGCCCAGCAGGGCCAATGCGCTCAGGGCGGCGGCCGCAGACGGCCGGGAGCGGCTGCGCCGCATCGTCATGCTGCTGGGCACGCGCCGGTGGGGGCACTTCGCGCAGTGACACGTTCTGGTGCAGGTGCTCAAGGGGTTCGCAGGTTGTCCAGACGGGTACAGTGCTCGTCAGTGAAGCTTTGGGGCGCCAGACCCGTGGATAACCCGCGGCCACTCGTGAACGGCGTTCGGTGGCAAACCTGCGGTAATCCTAAGTCGCGCTGAATGACTGTCACGGATGTTTTGTGTATGCTCCACCAACCGTATGTCTGATGGCGTGGGTTCGGAGCGAATTCACTGGAGCGTTTGAAGCATGGGTGACTCACAGGCCTCGCACGTTCAAAACTGCAACGACATTCCGCTGCAGCACTCAGAGATAAAGTAGAGACTCAATCTTACAACATTGCGAGCCACTGTGGCATCGGCGCAGAGCACATCGCTGCACTGTGCCACATGAACTGCCACATGAACTGCATCGTGAAGAAAGGCCAAGGCGGAAGCTGACAGCGCTGTGATTGAGAAAATAGATGGGGGGAAGGGCACCATGATTTCGATCACCTCCTGATGCCCGTCATGCTCCACCTGCACTTCTACTTCTGCAGGTGGCTGCTGGGTGGCGCCATCGCCACGAGTGTGCTGGTGACATCGCAGGGACGTGAGGACTCTCGACCGTACGATTGCAATGGTGCCTGGATTGGGCACTGGTTGCTCGCGTTGACTGACCTTTCTTTTCTGTAACACAGTGTCAGATGCTGCTTGCGGCAGCTGACGGATGCTGATCCGCGTCGGCGACCTGACAGTGTAACAGCCCGCTCATTCCGTAATCTTGATGCAGCCCCGCTACGCAGCGGATGGACTTGGCGACAGAGTGCTTACACGCCGTGCAATAGCCCATTCCCCAAACAGGATCGCTCCTTGCATCAAAGAAACAGAATGGCTCAGGAACTGGGCGGTGACTGCATTGGCATTGCCAAGCCAGCCCTGCCCCGAGAACTCAAGCGAGCAGGCAACGCAGCTTGACCAACGTAGATGATCGGGTTAAGGCGAGGAGGAGAGCGTCGCCGTGCCGGGGCTGACGCCAAATGTGCATGGCAATGCAACTTGATGATGACCAGCCGGCTTTCAGAAGTGTGGGCAAGACCAGCGGGGGCGTTCCTGGGGACACCATGAACTGTCCGGCAGCATAGGAGGAGAGTGGATCAGCATATTCGGAATGGAGGTGCTCCACGCTTGGTCCGCCTTGACTGATGCATGTGCTTGCTAGGTGGGACGGGGCAAGGGCTTCCCGCCTGTGACGCCAGCCGCTCGCCCAGCGCTCTTCCCCCCAAAGGGAACAAACGTCTGGTGGCATGTGCTGGACACGAGGAGGAAGGCGTGCAGACTGTGAGCCGGGCGCAGTTGCTGATAGTCGGGCCAAAAGCCACAGTAAATAGAAATTTGCAAATCAAATCCATCCTTTGATCGCCAGCCGAAGCGTCTTTAGCCTACAGGCGAGCGCACACAGCACACGCCAACCCGCGCTTTGCACCCGGGGCCGATGCCTTGAAACCCCGCAAACAGGCGTCTGTTCAGATTGCCGCACACGCAAGGAAGCGCCCGTCCCTGCGACTCAGGATGCGGCGTGCAACTTCCTGGGGCGAGCACGCCCAGAAAGTTATGCAAACTTCTGGCCGTCAGGGTAGTGAGGACACATCAACGTCAACGGGACAGGCAGCACGGTCGGCCGCGCCGGCGTGCTGGCCATGCTGGACCAGACCTGCTTGCGCCAACCTGGGTGCGAGCTCGCATGCGAGCAGATTGCAATACTGGAGTCCGGCAACCTCGATCGTGTGGGAGGACAGCCCCGAACGGAACGGCTAGGATGTACCAGACAGCGGTCCGCATTTTTTTCCCGACATGCTAAACCATGCTCAAGTGTGTCTGTGCCTGCGCGCCGGCGAAGAATATGAGCAATGCCCTACGGCCCGGCTGTAGCGCGCAATCCCACCGGGCCGGTGGAATTGTGCGGGGGCCGGTGGTCGCGGCCTCCCCTTGCAGGCTGGCTGGCTCGCGATGCCAGGCGGACCTCGCTGGCTCGTGGGAGCAAGCGCTTAAACGGCGCGGCCAGAGCCGCGAGCCTTGTTGCCGAGCGGCTTGCCATTGGAGGTGAGCTTGCGCTCGCAGATGTTCTGTGTAAAATGGGTTTGCATGATGAATACAGTGAGCCCTTGGGGTGCAAATAGGAGCTACACCCAGATGCATCACAAGCGTGGCAACTGCATGCGCAATCGGACCCCTGGCACTGCGGCGAGGGCTTCGCCTGCCTGCATTCAAGTCGTGGGGGGCGTGCGCAGGCCGGCACAGTTGCGCTGCACCATTGCATGCGCGCTGACGAGGCCGGGTAGCGCACCTCATCGGGGTCGCCGGCAAACTTGCCCAGGGCCTTGAGAATCTGGTTGGCGCTCCTCTCACCAGCGCCGTAGCCACCTGCAAATGCGAGTGCGCGGCCTCGTGTCGGTCGACGCTGCTTGCGGACTGCTGCACAAGTGGATCAGCTTGGCGGGGTCGGCAATTCTGGTGACACAAGTGCACCGTGGCGTGGACGTCAATTTGCCTGCTGCTTGCCTCAATCTCCGACCATCTTGCCCCAACCCCGAGTAACAGCAGACCGTACTTTGTGTCAGACGCCGCGCTGCCCGCCTTGCACTAGGCACGCCCTGCAGCGCGCTGCTCTGCCACACATGGCGCGAGAGTGGAGAGTGCGCCCCGCACGCACCCGACATATAGCCGTTCATGCGCCTGCAGGCGGCCTCGCCCGAGAAGAGGATCTTGCCCGGCCTTGCCAGGGAGTCGGGGGTGCCGACGGGCGCCCTCCAGAGCTCGTAGGCGTCGAGGCCCATGCCCGCCTGCAATCAAAGCGCGCACAGTGTGCAGCGTCGCAGCTGTCAGAGGGTGGTTGCACGAGGGAGTGGAAAACCAACCCTGCAAGCACAGCCAGAATGCCCGCCAGACGTCCCAGCAGCTACTCAAAAGGTTGTGGCACAAAAGCCAGGGGCAGACAACACTGGCAAAAATCCAACGATATCGTGCAGCACAGGCACCAGTGATGCTGCCCCCCTCCCTAAACTCATGTGAGCAATGCCTAGCTGCGACAGGCCCAGCTGCGACCCCAGTGCAGGCGCACCGGCCAGTTGGTGAAGCTTCCACCGAACAGGTCGTTGGTGTACCAGCGGGGGATGACATAGCCGATGAGCCTGTAGGGCGACGTGGTGTTGGCCTGGGGGTAGATCTGCTGCAGGCGCTGGATCATGTTCTGGAGGATTTGTTCGTCAGACAAGTTCTCAATGGAGGCCGCCATGACGTCGGTGAGCTGTGGTGAGTGGAGGGTGGGCGATGCTGGGCCAGAAGTACGGCAAGGCAAGCATGGCTGCCGGGGAAAGTCAGGCAAGCATGGAACCCTGAAAGGAGGGTCGAGGCCGTGCTATGTTGAGTACGCAATTAACCATGAGAAATCGTTTTGGCTTTGGCATCAGTATGCTTTCAGTTTCAACACGACATGCCTACATGCAGGGGCGTCCCTTTTTGCCCTTTACACTTGCCGTCATGAACAGGATGTTTGAGCCTGGCAGGAAGCCGCCTGAGCTCGGGTTCAGGCTCTGCCAGAGGAGCGTGTTGGAAGCACCTGAGAGCCAAAAAATTTTGGAAAGGGCAGGTCGCATGTGTCAGCGTGTGAAGAGTGCAGTAAGCCATGAATGCCCTCAGTCTGATGAAATCTTGGTTGACAACGCAGCAAACATGCAGGGGCTGACGGGTGGCACCCACCATTGTTGGGTGCCTGGAGGATGAACTGGGTTGTCGGGTCCCAGAAGGTGCTCTCAAACTTCAGGAAGATCTGCAGTCGCCATAACAAGAAATCATTTGGTGCAGATGTATGTGATCGAAAGCTGCAGGTTAAGTGGCCGTTGTCTCCTCTATTCAATGCCAAAGCAAGGCGGCTAGATAGTAGCCGCGCGCAGGTCTGCCCCACGCTGGGTCAGGCGAGGCTTGCCAGTGCACACTGCCCCCACCTTGGTGTAAGTGCCCATGCGGAACTGCATCAGGGCGGCCCGCTTGGCAGGTGTGATGAGCGAGGTGGGGAACAGCGTGTCGAGGTTGCGCTGCAGGTGGCCGATCGGCATGGTGTTGATGACGTAATCAAATGTGTAGGTGTCCCCGGTAGTCTTGACGGTCACCTTGTCTTGGTTGGTGATGGCGAAAGAGGTCACCTGCGTGGGCCATTTGGGGAGGGTGAGGTAGGTCCAAATGAGAGGACAAGGAGCAGTTAGGGTGGGGGCCATTCACGGATGGGATTGCTGGTGGCGGCCGTGCAGCCAGCCTGCAGCTTGCAGGCCAGGAACCAGCATTGCGTGTCTCGGATCGACACCGCCCGCACCTTGGTGTTCAGCTTTATTTTGTTGCTGGTGACGTTTGAGCGGCTGGCCAGGCAGGTGACGAGCTTGGCAAGGCCGAGCTCTGTTTGCTGGTTGGCAAAGATGTCAGCATCCTCAAAATCTGAGTAGACGTTGTCCGGCTGCGTGAAGCGAGAAGAGATCATCTCGGCGGTCTCGGACCATTCAAAGTTGACGCTGTACCACTCGACCGCGTAATCGATGGGCTTCACAGGGTTCCAGCCGCTGCGCGATGGAGCATGCAGGAAAAAAGCCAGTGCGCATGCTTGGCAACAGCTCTTTGTGCAGGGCGAAAGTAGGGGGGCATGTGCATGCACGGCGCTTTATGGGTGAGAATTTCCAGCCCGGCCTGGCGCGGTTATGCCAAGAAATGAGGGGCTGCACGAACATATGCCGCCCAGGAGGTGCCATACCCGCTTCGGTGCCCGCACAACATCGTGATAGGGAGCAGCTCTCACCAAACGCGGTAGGCCGCACGTACGTCAAGGTCGCCATAGGCGTTGCTCTCAATCGCCTGCTTCACGGTCGACGCGGCGCACTTCATAGCTGTGTCAAACTGGCGCCAGGGGATCTTGTTGTCAGGCAGGGGCTTGCCAGCCTCGTCAAAAGTGATGACAGAGTCCCAGTTTTGGGGGGTGCCATTCAGGCCGCAAGTCTTGACCAGGTCGTAGATTGGGTTGCCCGTAAGGCCCTGGACCCAGTTGGCGCCCAGCTCCACGAACTGCATGTTGAGCAGAGGCGTGGCTGTTTGGTGTTAGTTCACATGGCAGTCATGCACCACCCCTGGGAGGCTGCCCACGCCAGTCATGGTGCGACGCAATGCGAACTGTCCACTATTGATGAGAGACGCGCATGCCCCTCCCTTGTCAACAGCCGTCGTGCCTGCTGCCAGCACCGCTGTGGGTTTTGACCGAGTCGCGGGAGAGCATCGCTGACTGTGCCATGTGAGGTAGAGCTGCGGTGCCCTCCACTTCCTACCCTCCCAGACCTATCGCAGCCCCGGTCCCAGCCCCACCTCCTTGTTGGGTCCAAGGTTGGCGCCGCCATACGGCAGGATCTCAGTCTGGCGCACACGGCCGCCCACCCTGTCGCTGGCCTCGAGCACGATGTAGTCTACGCCTGCAGCCTGCAGGATGCTGGCGGCACGGATGCCGGCAAACCCAGCACCCACGATACCCACTGTCGCTGTCTTCTGGGCGGCTGCGTGATCCACAAAAGGCAGCAGCAGAAGTGCGGCGAGCGCGGCGGCCGCAGCCAACGGCGTGCGGCGGAGCATCATGACGGTTGGCTGTCGGCGAGTCGGCGGCCCAGGCCTAGGTCCCAGTGACGGGATTTATGGGTGACCTGTGGCTGTTTGAGTTAAGCTGTGCTTTCGAGCCGTCAGAGATGTGGGAGGCCTTTGTTTAATGTGCGTCCAGCACACGGCAGGCACGGTCCAAGTGGCCGTGGCTGTGCAAACCCTTACGACACGCGGAAGCAAACTGAACACAACGAAACCTAATATGACCGGTCCGACGAGATGGGTGGAAATCTTGCGTCGGCTGGAAGAAGCTAGGGTCTCTTCCTCGCTTGTGACCACGGCAGTGACAACCCCCTGGCTTGACCTCCAAGGGAAACATGCTTCGACCTACTTGTTTGCATAAATTTCCGTGGCGGCACCACGTACGGGAGGTCCTGGTGACGGAGGTCATCCGGCTGTCACCCCTTTGTTCACAGTGCGTCGGGAACGGTGAGGTTCTCGCTCGGCCCCCGCCTCAGATACCGCCCGACTCCAGACTGGGTGCAGCCAAGTGGTATGTGAAGCCCGTTGATTGCTCGGCGACAGATCCAGTTGCTGGATTCACCGTGCGAGGGGGAGAGCAGGTGCTGCACGCCAGCGGCCAACAACAGAGAGTACAGCGTAGCTGATTGCAGCGCTCGCAGCAAGGGCTGCGACCTCAAGCACGTGATGCCCACTCAGTGCTGGTCAACATCGTGGGCACGGTGCACAGTGCAAGTGTACATTGTCTGGTGCAGCCTGGTGCGAGGCTACGCTGCACGCCTGGCAAGTACGCTGGCCGTACACACAAGTTAATGGCCGGCGCACAACCGCAGCGTGACCAGGGGCTATGCTATAGGGAATTTCCAAGCAAACGGGCCGTAGAGCTTGTGCCAATGTTCTGTCGCCGGCTCTTTGGGATGTTCGCAACACAAAATTCTTGACGTTGTATCCAGGCACGGGCAGCATTACAGCAGCACCGCAACGGCTCGTCCAAGGCGGCAATGGGCCCTTCCCATCCACTGGCCCCCAATAATAGCTTAGCGTCCGGGATGGTACGCTGTTATTGGGGGCCAGTGGTGTGCAGCAGCGGCTGCGGGAAGGCAGTTGGCGGGTGTGGGCAAGCGGGGCACGGCAAGAACGTAGCATGTGGTGCAACGCAGAGGCGGTTGCAGCTGGCGCAAGCCTCGGCCACAGCCCGACACAATGGCACCCAGCCTTCTGACACTGGACCACGGCAGCTGCCAGCGCCCACCCCTGCGGTGCAAGTGTGGCGGGGCGATCGCCTCCTCTGACTTTTGAAACGAGGAGGTGGTGGTTTCTAGCATGGCAAGTTGTGCTCTGTAGCCTGCCGTTGACAAATTGGGTGGCGCTGTCATTGCCGTGCGGCTACTAGGGGCGCTCAGGCATGCCATGTGGCCGTAGAGGAGCACGGGACCTGGCGAGGTCAACCGCAGGAAGCCCCTGGAAACTTGGCAGGTGACACACCGGCAAATACCAAAGATGTCATGCTGGCACGCCCCAGCAACAACTCGTCAATCTCTTGAGAGAGACCCAGACTTGCATGTTGACGCTATTTCGCATTACCTGGATGCCATGGCTGGGCTGGGCGCCGGGTGTGCCCCTGGAGTCATTGCGCACTGGCTCAATCTTCTCATGTGCATGTAGCTACCCACGTGCAGTGTTGTGATTCAATGCGAATGCGAGTTGATCGGAATGCGACGCAGGAGGAGGTCGCCGCGTGGCGGTCTCATGACGATGTATCTGAATCGCCCGCCAAACCCCCGGCCGCGATGAAAAGTCTTACTTTGAGGACCCCGGCACTTTCACTAGCACAAAATTCTGCACTACATCATTGAGACGCCCTGCATACACACTTCAAGATCAAAAGCGGTGATCTGGAGTCTAGGCGGGAGGGAGCAGCTGCAAGCATGGCGGAGGAGAAGACGGCGTATGAGCTTGAGCGAGAACGCCGGATCGAGGCGAACAAGCAAAAAATTGCGGTGCGCGCGGGAGGATGGCACCACAAGCCGCGTGCGTTGGGGACCTGGCGTAGTGTGCCTGGTTGTGATAGGAGATATACGTTAGGTTCCCGCGGGACCCACAGTGTCCCGGTCAGCTGCATACGCAGCAGATATCATCTCCCTGGACCTCTGGTCACTTGGCGCCTGCGGTCGCAAGCGCACCACCGCGGTAGCCGCCACCCCCGACACCATCCCACGCAGGAGCTCGGCATCCACGATTCGGTCGCGGCCGTGCAGCAGCTCGCCGACGCCAGGCCCACGCGGCCGAAGCGTGCCCGTGCGGCGCCGTCGGAGCCCGTGGACCCGCAAGATATTCGGCGGTCCGCGCGGCCGCGCAGTGAGGTCAACTACAAGGTTGACCTGCCCATCAGGGGTGAGGGTGGCGCCGCACGCGACCCGATTGACTACACTGAGAAGATCAAGCAGCTGCAGCTTGACTCGAACGCCGCCGAGAAGCTGCGCGCCGAGCTGGAGGCCAAGCGCGCGACCGAGGGGGAGACGAAGGCGCGAAAGGCCGCGGCCAGCAAGGCGACGCGCGGGCCCAAGGACTCGGGCAAGGGCGTGCGCGTGCAGGTGGGTCGGTCAAGGCAGCGGTCGAAGCATGCTGTCGCGATTGTAGCGGCGTCGCCTGCGACCCTCAGCGCCTTGCATGGCTGCACGATGCTGAACGTGAGTTGCCGCAAATTTTTGTGCCGACTAGCCACAACCACCGCCGCCAAACGCACCACGCTGCGCGCTGCACAGGGCGGCCGCGTCTACGACTCAAAGTTTGGCGTCACCTGCCATTGGTGGGTGGCTTTGAGCATATGCGCTTGCATGTGCGGCCACAGGCTCGTGCAACGTCGAGCGACCAAGCGCCCTGCCTCGCCACCTGGCCATGTGCCCTCGCTGCCTCCTGCCGCAACACACCGCCTCTCCCTGGGTCACACGATCGTAACGGGGCAGGTGCCGCCAAAAAACGCTGGAGGCTCATGTGACGTGCACGCACCCCAAGTGCGGCAAGGGGAAGATGCCGTACTCCTTCTGGTGAGGCAGCACACAGCGAGGGGCAATGACTCCCAGCCAGCAGCTCATGCACGCGCATGTTGCTCGCCAGCGTCTCTCCCAATGTGGGCTTTTGTTATCATCAGCCTGGTTCTGAGTGTGCACCGGCGGCTGCGGTCACATTTGTCCTCCCGCCAAACCGCTGCCGCCTGCCCACAGCCACAAGTGCCTCAAGAACCGCCACGGCGAGGACGCCGAGGCGGCCGCCGAGAGCGCCGCGTGGGTGTGCCCCGCCTGCCGCGGCTCCTGCGGCCCCGGCTGCGTCATATGCTGCAACTGCGGCCCTTGCCGCAAGAAGGTGGGCGCTGGGCTGCGGCGTGACCAGCGCACTCACTGCGTGATTACGCACAGCCGTTGTGCTTCCCGGCCCAACTCGCCGCCCGCCCTCTCGCTGCGGCCCTCACTCCACCCATCCCCGCCGTCATCCTCCAGGCCAGCCTCGAGCCAACCGCCCAGATCGTGTTCCTGGCGCGCAGCGCCGGCTTCTCAAACGTCCACGATTACTTGGTGCACCTGGTCACTGGGGAGAAGGAGGAGGACATCGCCGCCCGCAAGGCCAAGGCGTCCTGGGGCGGCTGGCTGCGCGGCGAGGGCAACGGGTGCGAGCCCGACGCGCAGGCAGCGGAGGCCGAGGCCGGTGCGGAGGAAGAGGAGGGCGAGGGGCCGCAGCGGAAGAAGCCGGCCAGGGGCCGCAAGGCCAGCGGCGCAGGGCGCGGTGGCAAGGGCGCCGCGGCCTCGGAGACTGGGGCTGAACAGGAAGCCGAGGCGGCAGCGCCCGAAGCGCTGGCCCCGGCCGCAGGGGCGGCGGGCAAGGGCGCGGCGCGGCGCAAGACGGGCGGCAGCGGGGGCGCGCGGGGGCGCAAGGCGGCGGCGGCTCCGGCGGCCGAGGCTGACGCGGCGGCGGAGGCGGCGGCGGCGGCGGCCTCCCAGGAGGATGTGGCCGCGCCGGCGGCGCCTGACCAGGACTGCCAGAAGCTGTCCAGGAAGGCGCGCATGATGCAGCGCATGGGGCTTGCGCCACGCGCGGAGAGCGAGGCGGCCCCGGCGTGAGCCGCGCGCAGGCGGGCCGGCGGCGCGGCCGCACGCATCGAATGGCCGCTGACTGCGGGCGTGGTTCTTGACTCGTACCCTTGGCCCTGACGCGGCATGCATAAACAGTGGCCGCCTTGCACGCACCTTTTTTCAACAATTGTGCGGCCAAAGATCGCAAGAACAAGTCAAGGCGACACCTCCTCATTGCAGCTGGCGCCAGCTGGCAGCAGCCGCGACAACAACACTTGCGGCTGCAGCGGCAATCGGGCCCTGCATTTACTCACATGTACTTTCACCTCCCCTGCCTGGCGGCAGCGACTTGTACGAGGGCCAGTGCTGAACCTTTCATGCAGCAGCTGCTGCCTCTGGGGGCGCCGTTTGCGCATCGTGACAAGACTGGTGCTGATCCTGCCTATCATTCTTGGGCAACAAGATTATGCGAAAGACCACGAGACTGGAGTTGCGCACGGACCAGCCAACATTCGTTTCTTAGCATCAATGAAGTAAAACGGAACTAGGACTACGCCGGACACCCACACCCAACTTGTTGTCAACACATTTTTGGGGGTTGCTCAATTCGAATTGTTGGACATCTGACGGCACGCACAGCCGCATGCACAAGTTATGATACTGACAGCATTGCGCTCAATAACGCCCTGTATGGCTCGCCTGAAAACGGAACATGGCTACGCCGCATGCAAGCCGTGCTGCTGAGAACTGCGGGCGTGTCGGTTCAATAAATCCTGGAGTGTGTGTCACATCACCCCCTACAAAGGCTATATCTGTCTGCAACGTTTCAAGTATCATATGACGTTGCTCAAGCTGCCTGTTTTGTCTGCGTATAGGCCACAATAGCCCTGGAACCGGCAGTGGCAGGTGCAACCAAAGCAAGATCACGGAATAGATGGTGGGACTTGTTGTCTCAAATATTTTCGAAAAGGCTCATTGGACGTTGTTGCCACACCCATATACACAGGCGCTCTTCGTGTGTTTGCCTGCAGGCTTGCACATCCCCAGTACATCACTGTCCCTGCTTGCAGCCGCCTTTTGGTGTCCACTGGCGAGGCCTTTGCTTTTAGCCGCTTCCTGATGCGTGGGCACTAGCAGGTGTGCAACCAGCCCGCGGCCCGACTGATGAAAGCGAGCTCCTACAGGGACGGCAGCTGGGACGACCTGCAGAAAATAGCACTGTGCCTTCCTGTACGGGGAGCGGACCAGGAGGACACCCGGCCTTGCTGCCCTGTGCTCGAGCAGCAGTGCCTGGGAAGCGCCATCTAAGCAGGGCGTGCTTTGCTCAACATGCAGGTCTGATGCCACGCGTTGGTGGCAAGGGCAAGGCAGCCCTCGGTGGCGGCGGCGCGCTCGGCGGCAGCGGCGCTGCGGGCGCGACACTACCGGCAAGCTGCGATCCGCCGCTTGGCAACCTCACGGGGAGCGAGCTATCGGCGCTAGCAAACTTGAACCTCAACATCACCCTGCCACGAATGGGCAAGGGCTATGGCGGTTTCGGCGAAGGCGTATGCACGTGTGCGCGCTGCATGCGCCGCGCTGGGCCCATCCGCGAAGATGTCGAGTGAGTGGGGTCGCATGCGCATGTAGTCTGAAGTCAGGGGCAGCCGGGGCATGAGGTGCATTAATGTGCTGCCGCAGGACTCCAGCTTATTTTGGGGGCTGACGTGTCAGCTGCAGGTGCGTGCACGGCTGTTTTGGGCTGGCCGCTGAAGCTGACCGTTTTTGCTGGGCAACGGCCGGCGGCACCCCCCCCCCATTGCAGCAACAAGCTGGTGCAGATTACGTACGCACTGGTGGGTGCCGCAAGGCGATGCAGACGGGCGGTCTTTTGATCGGGCAATGCGAGCATTGTGCGGTGCCTGACAGCGGCAGCAACTGGTATACGAGCACTGGGGGGTTGCGTGCGCATGCGGCCGTGCGCGCACGCGCCCTCTCCTGCCCATACCTGGCCCGCTTGCTGCCAATCGCCCCCAGGCCAATGTGTATGAAGACACGCCCGACCTCGAGCGCCGCGTGACGGAGGACCACCGGCGCCGCGCGGGCGAGCTCATGGCCGCCGTGGAGCGCGGCGACTGCGGCGCGCTGCGCGCGCTGCTGGAGGGCGTCGAGGCGGAGGAGGACGACGGGCTGGTGGAGCCCGGGACGGCCAGCGAGGTTGCGACGTACCTCGTGCTCAGCGCGGCGCAGCTTGGCCAGGCGGGCGCCGTCGGCGTGCTGGCTGAGTTCGACGCTGACCTGGAGGAGGCCGACGGCGTCCGCAAGGGCACCCCCCTGATGCACGCGGCCAACAACGGCGAGGCGGCCGCCGTGCGGGCGCTCATTGAGTGCGGCGCAGACGTGGAGGCGACCGACGACAACGGGTACACAGCGCTGATGGTGGCGGTGTTCAGCGACCGTGCGAGCGCAGCGGAGGCGCTGCTTGAGGGCGGCGCGCAGGCCGACGCGCTCGACCGCGCGGGGCGCAGCGCGCTGTCGTATGCGGCGATGTACGGCTCGACGGACTGCATCTGGCTGCTGGCCAACCACGGGGCCGACGTGTTCCACGCTGACAAGGACGGCGCGACGCCGCTTGACCTGGCGGAGGACAGCGGGCGCGCGAGCGCGCTGGAGGCCCTGCGGAAGCTGCAGCTGCGCCACAAGATGCAGGAGAAGCGGCGCGCCAAGGCCGCGCGGCAGCTGGGCGGGCCCGGCGGCGGCAGCGGCGGCGGCGCGGGGG